TTTAGTGCCAGTTTTGCCTGCAGCCCCCAGTCCCACCCTCTTCTCTCAGTCAGCACATGTTCTTGTCAATCAACAGAAGAAACCTGCAATTTAGCAGGGCAACAAAAGGGATAAGGCAGAATGGGGTCTGGTTCCGCCTCCATCCAGGATTAAAGGACAGGACAGGCAAGCAGAACTCCATGTGAAAAAGACAATGCCACACATTCAACAGCACTGATGAAGGCGGAGAGACATGGGTGGGGGGGGGGGGACAGTAGGATGAGCTTGAGTGGGGACAGGGTGGAGCCAGGACCAACATCTGAGGCTAAGGACAGCATGGCCAGATGGCTGGCTCCAAGAGGCTGCTTGAAGATTTCCATGTACTCTCTGTACTTGTTCAGGGCCAGTTAGTCACTGCTACAGAGACCAAGGTCATGGGAAGGACCCTGCCTCTACCACTAGATGACTCTTCAAACGTCTTATGGAGCTGAGGCATTATTCTGTCATTCTGCCCAAACCATAGCACAAGGGGCACCTATTTACTATGTGCCCTACCATACCAGAAAAGCATTAAAATAGTTGGCGTCGGGCAGTGGTAGCACAAGCCTTTAATCCCAGCACTCAGGAGGCAGAGGCAGGTGGATCTCTGTGAGTTCAAGGCCAGCCTGGTCTACAGAGCCACTTCTAGGACTTCTAGGACAGTCAGGGCTACACAGAGACCCCTGTATTGAAAAACCAAAAAAAAAGTTGGCAGTAATTCTTAAAATATAGCAAGAACGCACCAAGCAGCAGAGGAGAAACAGGAAGAAATACAAAATGGAAGGCTAGGAGGGGGGAAAGGCTATATATTAAGTTCTAACATGTGCATAACCTAACCACATGCCCAATTCAGTGTCCTTAAAATAAGAACAAACCACACACTAGGAAGAAATGAAATTATTCCTGCTACTAAGAGTCGACAAGAATTTTCTTGAGAATCATCATAAAGGTAACAAGGTATAATGTAATGGTCCTTGACAACATTCTTAGAGCAGAAAGAACACATTTCCTTAAAGAGACTCAAAATAGGGTCAATGAGGGAACCAGGGACCGAGAATAACCTGCCCTGGTCTCAAAGAAACAGCCACCAAAGAGGTCATCAACCACACGGTTAGGACAAATCTGAATTATCACTTACTTGTGGGTATTTAAGGAGCAATGTCTATAAAAATGAAGTTTCAGAGCTGGAGAGATGGCTCAGTGGTTAAGAGCACTGGCTGCTCTTCTGGAGGTCCTGAGTTCAATTCCCAGCACCCACATGGTGGCTCATGACCATCTATAATGGGATCTGATGCCCTCTTTTCGTTCAGGCATACGTGCAGATAGAGCACTCATACAAATAAAATAAATAAATGTTTTAAATGAAGTTATAGTAGCTATAAATTAGAAACAATCTAGATGCCCATGTCTAGGTAAATGGATAAATTATGGAATATTCATACAAAGAATTAGTGCTTATCAATAAGTTAATGAACTTGTGCTGGCAGGCAGGTATGGGGCCAGTCCAGCTGTTTGTTCAGTGGGACCTTGGGGGACACAGCTGTCCTTAGCCAGGACAGGTTAAGAGGCAGCAGATGGGCACAAAGCCAACCTGCAGTTACAGCTCCATCTGAGTGACCATGCCCACTGTGGAGGTGTTTGAAGGGAAGCCTAGGAGGGTGAAACTGGTGGAGCTATTTAAAGACAAGAAGGGTGTGCTGTTTGGAGCTGCTGGGACATTTACCCCTGAGTGTTCTAAGACCCACTTTCCTGAGTTTGCGGAGTAAGTCTAGGATCTGAAGTCAAGGATATGTAGGTAGTGGCATGTCTGAGTGTTAATTATGTCTTTGTGACCAAGAAGTGTGATCAAACCCACAAAACAGAATGCAAAACCCCTAGCTGCTATCACTGGGACCTTTGGGAAAAAGACAGATTTATGACTAAATGAGTCCTTGGTTTCCCTCTTTGGGAATCGCAGGCTCAACAGGTTTTCTGTGGTGACAGAGGACAGGAAAGAGCTGGATGACACAGGTCTAACCTTCGGTCTGGCCCCCAACATCTTCTTCCAGCCTAGAGGCCATGGTCAGATGAAAGCCCTCTCCCTACCTGTTGTCTCCCTGCTCACCCTTGTACCAAGAAACCCAGCACTGCCTCAGCTGGGACCACTTAACTGGAGCCTTGACCATATTTCTGCAATAAACAGTCTGGTTCATGAAAAAGAAATTCAAGTGCTAATACATATGAAGAATGTAATAGAACATACCTGTGATCCCAACACTTCGATGAACACAGGAGGAACAGGAGTTCAAGGTTATCCTCAGTAACACAGCAAGTCCAAGGCCAGCCTGAAATACACGACCCTGTCTCAAAAGAATTAAATAAAATAGGGACTCAAGGAATGGCTCTGCTCTTCCAGAGGACCAGAGTTTGGTTCCCAGACATCATGTGAGGTGGCTCACAACAGCCTGTTACTCCAGCTCATGGGGACCTGGTTCCCTCCTCTGGCCACTCCAGGTACTGCACTTATGTACACACATACACACTATTGGGAATTTTTTAATTAAATAAAACAGGGCTAGTAAGACGGCTCAGTGGGTGACCGTGCCTGCTGGCAAGCCTGGTGGCCTGAGTTCACTCCCCAGGCCACATCAGAGGAGGACAGAACTGACTCCAGAAAAGCTGCCCTGACCTGCACAATAAATAGATGTCATTTTTTTATTTAATTAACTGGATTTAATTAAAGTAACATTCACAGGGCAGTGGTGGTGCACACCTTTAATTTCAGCACTTGGTTGGCAGAAGGAAGCAGTATCTGAGTTCAAGGCCAGCCTGATCTACAGAGTGAGTTCCAGGATAGCCAGGGCTACAGAAACCCTATTTCAAAGATAGATAGATAGATAGATAGATAGATAGATAGATAGATAGACAGACAGATAATGACGTAGCATTTATCTTATTTCATTCTATTTCTTGGCACAGGGTCTCATGTATTCCATGCTGACCTGAAACTTACTTTGTGGCTGAGAACTTATTCTTTAATTCCTGATCCTCCTGCTTCCACCTAAGTGTTGAGACTCGGTGTGTTCACATGTAATAACCAAACACAAAAAATAAAACAGGAGCTGAAGAGATGGTTCAGCAAGCAGCTAAGAACGGAGGACGAGGGTCCAGTTCTCAGGACCCACAGAAGGCTCCCGGCTGTCTTGAACTTCAGTTCCAGGGGGTCCGATGCCCTCCTCTGGACTGCGGGCACCGTGCGTGCACGTGGTGCACGCACATACATACTTGGAGGCAAACTCACACATAAAATAAAAGTAAGCGAATATTTAAAATGTAAAGTAAAGGCAGATGATGTTGCTAAACGGCACGGGCAGGGGTAGGGCTTGCCTAACACCCAGCGGCCCCCACAAAAAGCACAGGTGTTAACTGTCGTCACTCCCGCCGCTCCGCGGTCCCTGCACGCAAGAATCCAGTCCAAACCCAGCGGCACCGTCCCTCCGCTCGCTCTGCATCCGGGTCCGCCGCCGCCCCGGCACAGCGGCGCCTCGCTTGGGGCTCAGCCTAAGTCCCGGTACCCACCACACCCGAGGTGACAACGTCCCAGACATAAGGAAGGGTAGAATGAAAGCACGTGTCACCTATTTCTCGGCTGTCTCACGGCAGTCACACGTGAGAAGAAATCCCCGCACCACCCTCTGAGCGACTGAAAGCGGCCGCGAAGCGCGCGGCGCCGGCTCGACAGGCCCCCCTGCGGGCGGGGCCGGGAGGGCAGCCTGGCGGGAACGCCACAGACACCCGGAGGGGCAGGGGGTGGGGCGCCGAGAGGGCGTGGCTAAAGCCGGAAGGGGCAGGAACTCGAACGCGCGAGGACTTCCCCAGCCTCCTGAAGAGAGCGCCGCCTACCCCCGCTGGGCGCCAGCGCGTTTCCAGAGGCGGAAGGTTTTCCTTGGCCCCGCCCCAAGCCCCGCCTCTGGCCTATGGGAATAGAGCAGAGACCGGAAGGAGGCCGAGCCTCGGTCCCGCCAGAAACAGGCGGCCTAGGCCCACAGCGCCCTCTGTTGATGCCATCGGGAGTTGCATGGAGCTAGTCGGCCGACCACCTCATACCTAAGAGAAAATTAGACAAAACGCTACTCAAATGGCTACATACCGTATGACTCTTTACATAACGTTCTGCAAAATGAAAAACTATAACAGAAATATACCAGGGAAACAACACAGACTGGGGGAACGCTGAGAAGTACTAACAGGATCCTGGTGGTGTCCACTCGATAAAACAAAAAAACAAAACTCACAGCCAACAAGCCTGAGCTTCGGGTAATACAACTACAGTGTTTTTTGTATGTGTGTTTTGTTTGTGTGCTTGCTTTGTTTTGTTTTTCGAGTCAAGGTTTCTCTGTGTAGCAGCCCTGGCTGTCCTGGAACTCACTCTGTAGACCAGGCTGGCCTCGAACTCAGAGATCCACCTGCCTCTGCCTCCAGAATGCTGGGATTAATTTTTTTTTTTTTGACAGAGTCTCACTGTGTAGCCCTCAGAATCATTACACAGAGCCCATGCTGGCCTCTAACTTACCCACCTGCCTCCTGAGCACTGCGGTTTGTTTTCAAGTGTGCCACGGCGCATGTGTGGAGGTCAGAGGACAACTTGTAGGAGTCAATTCTCTCCTTCCAGCATGTGAGTCTTGGGATCAAACCCAGGCAGGCTTGCTAGCAGGCCCCTTTACCTACTGATCCATCTCGCCAGCGTCCACTATTTTGTTTTGAATACTAAAACGAGATTGGTGCCTACCGGGGTGGGGGATGAGTAATGAAGAGTGATTGCTCTATGGAAAGGGGCCCGTTCGGAAGCTGTGGGGATATCTGGGAATTAGGTACGTTTATAAACATTGTGAATGGACTAGGTTTCCTTGTAAAATGAGGAATCTTATGCCTTGTAAATTTCTCAAAGTATTTTTAAATGTTTAAATTTTTCCTGCCTTTTTTTTTTTTTTTTATTGAACAAGCTCATGTCCAGAGGCATGCTGGGGATGGAAATTGGCTTTTCTGCTTTGACCTTCGTCCCATACAGAGTGAGCATGAATGAGAAGTGGGCCATGTTGTATAAAGTGATCTCCAGTCGCAAGAAGGTTAAGAAACTTGAAGGACAATCTCCTCCCCAAATGAAATGGAAAGCCCTTGAACTACCATCATTTACAAATCTCCAAAAAGGAAACAGGTTCAGAAGTGACTGTGTGAGGTTGAACTGAGCATTGGCTGGCCACGGCCACTTACACGGCATCGTCATGGAGAGGTTGCCTTTCCTTGTGATGAACACTGGCCTCAGAGGGTATGAAGCACATCCTCCAAACCCTAGCCTGAGTAAATCCATCTTGCCGCCAGCCTCCATGTAGCTATTCTGTGTGCCAGACCACAGCAAAACAAAGCCATCTTTCTCCTGGCTTTGGTCAGGCAGTGTTGGCTGAGATCAGCATAACCCCCCAACACACAACCCCCATTAAAAACAAGTAACAAATTTTCCTGGAGTCTGGGTTTTTGGTTTTTAGTTTGTTTGTTTTGTTTTTCAAGGCAGGGTTTCTCTGTGCAGCCCTGGCTGTCCTGTAACTCTCTGTAGACCATGCTGGCCTTGAACTTACAGAGAGCCGCCTGCCTCTGCGTCTGAGTGCTGGGATTAAAGGGGTGCACCACCACCTGGAGTCTGGTTCTGTCTGTGCCCATTTATCTGAACTTGTAGTTACTTCTGCTGCTTAACCAGCCCAGAACCAAGGCAAGGCAGAGGGAACCCCAAACCAAGGCAAGAAGGGGCCCAAAATCAGGCCAAAAATTAGAAGGCTCTCCTAACCAAGGAAAAAAAGCAGAGGGGGCCCAGAACCAGGGCAAGAAAGGGGAGGGATCTCCCAACCAGAGCACAAAAGTTGAGGGTATACAAAACCAGGGCAAAAAAGCAGAAGGAACCCCAAACCAAGGCAAGAAGACTCTAAGCCCAGGTCTAAATTAATTCTGCTGCACATGTGGGCTTAGAGCCATATAAAATAGGCATTTGCACGGGATGAGGAGAAAACTTCAGGAGAATACCGCCATCCTCAACAGTCCACTGCTAAGGAACCCCCAATAAACTCAGTTACTCCAGCACGCTGGACTGGTATGGGTCATTCTTTGGGTCATTGGTGCCATCCCAGTTTGAAAACAGGTCTTCACTCACAAATCTCTAGGGGGATTTGTAAACCGGGGAGAAGACAGACACACACAGGGTCACACACACTTAGGAAGTGGGAAGGCTCAGAAATGTACCAGAGCCTGTGAGCACCTACGTTCTTCCTCTAGTAGAAAGAACACACAGTTTAATTGTTCCTTCCCTCCCATGGTGGTTGAAACGGAAGTCAGGAGCCATGCCCTCCACCCCCAGCACACATCCCATTGCTGAGGAATATTCCAAGGAAGCCCATGGACGACTGAGGACCCCAATCTCTTTACTGCAACTTCACACAATTATGTACACACACACACACACACACACACACAGTCCCCTCTGGATTTGGAAGTCCTAAAAATATCCCTTAGTCTAGGCCAAGCAGCCCAGGCCAGGTTCCCAGAACAATAATCCTCAAGAAATACAGAATCTAAAAAACAAAGTACAAATTTTATTTTGTTTCTTTACAAAGGCACAATGGCCTCTTGGTATTTTGTTCCCTACCCCCACTTTCTTAACAAAATATAATAGCTTCTCCTTGGACACAAAGACCTCAAAATTGTAAAAAAAAAAAAAAAAAAAAGAGAGAAGTTTTTTAAAAAATACAGAAACCAAAACCAAAATAAAACCAACAACGAACAAAACAAAAAGAGAGACAAAGACATTTTTGGGGTCAATGATGGGAACCCTGGAGGGAAAGGTGGTAGTGGAGAGTGGCCAATTCGGGTGCTGAGGTGGCGGGGGGAGGGGGCAATGGCAGCAGCAATCCCCAACCGAGAAACAATGTAGACCCCCGGGTCCCCAGAAAGCCCCAACCCAGCCTGACCCCCAACCCATGTAAGTGCTTCAAAGAGAAAAGAGAAAACCAAACAGAGACGGGAAGGGGGCTGAAGACCGTCAGTCTCGGGCTGGCTCTGGGGAGGGAGGAAATACCTTGGGGTTTTGTTTGATTTTCCCTGTTCTTAAAAAACACGTTTAAATGAAAGGAAAACAAACAAACAAACAAAAAAAGCTTTTTGGCGGAGAGAGGCCCGGCACCTCAGTGTCAGCTTCCCCGGCCCCAGGGCCGAGGCCCAGCCCTGGGGTCCCGATGCTCCCACACGTGCTATACCACCCCAGCCCCGGGACCTGGGCTTGGGTGGCTTCGATCAAAGGTCGACTTACAGTATTGAAAAAGAGGTCATAAAAGAGACCCAAATGACATCATAATTTTGTAAAAATTTCTCACTCATTCACCCATGTTTCTCCCTGTTGTTACCCCGGCCCCCTCTAACCCCCAGAAGGGAGAGGAGGGCTGGGGGGTGGTCAGGGAAGCTCCCCGTCCCCCAAAGGCTCCTCCCGGCTCTGGTCCATGGCGTCGCTGTCCGAGGCCTCAGAGTCTGAGGCGGTATCCGAGGTGTGAGCCTCCGGGCAGCTGCGGACAGACTTGACAATAACCGCTCGTCTCTGTTCCTCCTCCAGCTCCTGCTTGTCCTGGGTGCCCTCAATGTGCTGGATTGCCTGGGCAGAGAGAAACAGACCATTGAGGAGACTCAGTTGGGGAGATCAGGTCAGCCAGTTAAGAGTGGGGGCCCTCAGCCAGGTGTTATCTGCCCCCAAAACACACACCCCAGAACTGTTCAGAAATAAACTAAGCAAAGCAGGCACGGGGTTGGGCTAAGAAAGGGAAGACCCTCAGCTAAGTTGAAGGTCCTGGCCTCCAGAAGACCACAGCCCTAGATGTTAGAAACGACAGGCGTGGCTCATGTTTATAATTGTGAAGTCCACTAACCCAGTAAAGGTCTTTGCTATTCACTGTATTACTCAGTTTGCTGGGCGTATATGCAATGAAAGTTCTGGAATCTGATAGTCTTTTTTTTCATCTCTTCCTTGTTTCTGTTTATTGGGTTATTTACAACTTACCAACTAAGTGATTCTTGTAAATGTTGCTCAAAGCACTGAGAGGGGGCCTTCGTACTGCCTACCCACAGAAAGGTAAAAGGGGCTGGGGAGATATTCGGTCTGCAGAGTGCTTGCCTTTAAGCATGAGGGCTTGGGTCCAGTCCCCAGACCCATTTAAGTCAGGCACAGTGGCATGAACCTGTAATTGGAGGCTGGGGAGGTCGAGTCAGGAAGACCCCTAAGGCTCACTGGCCGGCCAGCCTATCCTGGTGAGCAACAAGCTCCAGCAAGTTTTCTGCCTCCTGGTTCTTTGGCTCCCCACCCCCACTTTCTTAACACAATGTAGTAGCTTCTCCTTGGACACAAATATCTCAAAATTACAAAATAAATACAGAAACCAAACCCAAAACCAACAACAACAAAAAAGAGAGAGAGACAAAGACATTTTAGAGGTCAATAATGTAAATCTTCATAATGAGAACATTATAATATATATATATCGACAGGTGTTTGCTCAAAAAACATAGTAGTACACACACACACACACACACACACACACACACAAACGCACACAGATACATACAAATCTTTTCTCAAAAATAAATAAATAAAACAGTGGACATCTTTCTCTAGCATCTAACCCATTAAGTGTAGTCCTCACCCCTCATCAAGGAAACCTCTCTGCAACAGATAGAGATTGTTATTTTAAAAAAAAACCCGGGGCTGGAGAGATGGCTCAGAGGTTAAGAGCACTGACTGCTCTTCCAGAGGTCCTGAGTTCAATTCCTAGCACCCACATGGTGGCTCACAGCCATCTGTAATGAGATCTGGTGCCCTCTTCTGGTGTGCAAGGTTACATGGAGGCAGAATGTTGTATACATAATAAATAAATAAATCTTTAAAAAAAAAAAAACCCACAATGAATGAAAATGCAGAGTTGTGGAGCCCATCCCAAAGGATTCATCTATAATAAAACTCCCAAACCTTAAGCTCGGGGATCATTGCAAAAGAGGAGACGGAAGGATTGTGAGAGTCAGAGGATCAGGGAGCTTGCTGTGAAGCTCACCAACATGTCTGCCTAAACACGTGCTGAACAAAGACAACACTGATAAACATGCCAAAGTGGACAAAGAAGAGCCTATGAGGCCTCACTCCTACACAAAGAACCACAGACAGCCGGGCAGTGGTGGCGCACACCTTTAGTCCCAGCACTTGGGAGGCAGAGGCAGACGGATCTCTGAGTTCGAGGCCATCCTGGGCTACAGAGCGAGTTCCAGGAAAGGCGCAGAGAAACCCTGTCTCACAAAACAAAAAAAGAGCCACAGACAACTAAGGAACGCCGAGAGCAGGGGAAAGTCTCTCCACTGAAGAGCACACCAATTTGTTATCCAATACCAAATGGTCAGCCTGAAAACGTACACAAGTACCATTCTAGAGACTGAGTAAGGCATATTATGTACTTAGGAAAATATACACATCCATATATATGTATGTAACAACAATTAATGAGAAAAAGAGGCCATGAATTTAAAGGAAAGCCAGGAGGGGTGTATGAGTTTGGAGAGAGAAAGGGAAGATGAAAATGAAGCAATTATAATCTCAAAATTAAAACAGACAGTGGTGGCGCACGCCTTTAATCCCAGCACTCAGGAGGCAGAGGCAGGCGGATCTCTGAGTTTGAGGCCAGCTTGGTCTACAGAGCGAGTTCTAGGACAGCCGCGTCTGTTGCAGAGAAACCTTGTGGGGGAGGGGAAGGGGGTGGAGGAGAAGAGGAAGAAGATAACAACAAAAGAAAACCGTAGTGGAGAATTCCTAAGGAGCAATACTTCAAAGCTGACATCTGGCTTCCACCCAAATGTGCACCTATGCACACTATACACACCTACACATATACCACAATATATGCAGAGAAAGAAAGAAAAGAAAAGAAACACAAAGGTAGGAGAAAGTTCTGGACTGGTTCACAAGCTGAATTAAGACTCATTACCAAGAAGCTCTGAGAACAGAAGCCTCGTAGGGCCACCAAGGTAATTCAGTTGGTAAAGGCACTTGCCACCAAGCCTTATAAACCTGAGTTTATAAGCCTTCTAACCCGAGTCTGACATAGTGAAGAGAGCCTGTTCCTCCAAGCTGTCTGTCCTCTGATCACCACAGAGGTTCCATGGCACACATACACACATACACATACACATATACACACAATAAATATATTTTATTTTAATTTAATTTTTAAAAAGGGAATCTCTTTTTCCCCCCAGGCACAGGGAGGGGACCTATCCAGGCATCCAAATTGTTACTCCTACACAAGCTCCATCTTGCTTCTCTTCCATCTCCTATTCCTTAGTCTCCAGCAAAAAGCCTGTCCCCAAGAGTCAAATCCCACAAGCCACCCTCCCCCTGAGCCCAAATACCTGCACAATGGTGTCCAGATTTTGCCGGGATGTAGAAACAGAATTGATGACTGAGGAGGGACCCATGGTGACAACATTGATGTGGTGTGAAGAAGGTGGAGCCGGTGCCGGCACGATCACTGTGGGGTGGTGGGTCGGGGCTGGAGGAGGCAGAAGCTGCAAGACAGAAGCCCTCAGTCTCTCTCCCACCCACCAACCTTCCTTACTCACAGGGTATCTGCTAGTGCGGATTTTAAATGTCCCCCCAAAGTCCATGCGGTAAAGGCTGGTCTCTGGTGTGGCAGTTAGAAGAGAGAAACCTTAAGAAGTTGAGCCTAAGCCGAGTGTGGTGGTGCACATCCGTAATCACAGGAGTCAGGAAGCTGAGCAGGATGGTGACAAGTTCAAGCCCATCTGGGATATATAGTGAGTTCAAGGCCCACATGGGATACATAGCAAGGCTTAAGAGAATAAAATAATAATAATGGAGCCTAGTGCCAGGCAGTGGTGGAGCATGCCTTTAATCCCAGCATTAGGGAGTCAAGAGACAGGTGGAATTCAAGGCTAGCCTGGTCTACAAAGTGAGTTCCAGGACTGCCAGAACTGCTACACAGAGAAACCCTGTCTCAGAAAATGATAATAGTAATAATAATTAATAATAATAATAATAATAATAATAATAATAACAATAACAGAGCTGAATAGAAGTTCTCTATGGGCAGGCACATCTTCCAAGGGGACAATAAGAGCCCTGCTTCTTTCTCTTTTTCTCTTTAGTTTCCTAGCCATGAGGTGAGTGGTTTTGTTCCTGCCGTGATACATCATCTCACTACCAATCTAATCACCCATAATCTGAAGCCTTCAAAACTTAAGCCAAAGCCTTTTCTCTTTATAAACTGATTGTTTCAGGTGCTTTGTTACACTAATAGAAAGCTGGCAAGCAGGGTTGGAGATTTAGCTCAGTGGTAGAACGCTTGCCTAGCAAGCACAAGGCCCTGGGTCTGGTCCTCAGCTCCGGGGGGAAAAAAAAGAAAGCTGGCCGGGCGGTGGTGGCGCACGCCTTTAATCCCAGCACTCGGGAGGCAGAGCCAGGCGGATCTCTGTGAGTTCGAGGCCAGCCTGGTCTCCAAAGCGAGTTCCAGGAAAGGCGCAAAGCTACACAGAGAAACCCTGTCTCGAAAAACCAAAAAAAAAAAAAAAGAAAGCTGACAAGCAGAGGGGCCAGCCAATTCACAACCCCACCATACCCGACCCGGCAGCCTAGTGAGCAGCCTCTGTGCACCCCAGACCCTCATTCATTCCCTGTGACAAGAAGCACTTCGGAATTTAATAAATAACTCTTCAAGGGTTTACACCCTGGCTGGGCATGGTGGCACAAGCCTTTAATCCCCGCCCTTGGGAGGCAGAAGCAGACAGATCTCTGTGAGTTCAAGGGTAGCCTGGTTTACACAGGGAGACCCTGTCTCAAAACAAACAAAAAAAACTATAGAGTCTGGCGCTCGCTGGGATATAGCTCAGTGGTAGAACGCTTGCCTGCCTGACATGCACAAGGCCCTGGAGTCAGTCAACACCACCACAAAAAAAGAAAAGAAAAAGAACATAGTTCCTGGATTAAGACCGAGAGGGTTCAAATTCCTGCTCCTGGGCAGGTTATCTGACCTTTCCCTGCCTCATTTTCCACAGCAATAAAACACTACAGCAGCTCAAGCTTCCAAGGGCCACCGGGAGGAATCTACGTTCTAATGCTCTCAAGGGACCTAACCCAGCATGCCCGCGTTGTTGCTGGCCCCGCCTGGAGTCTCGCGCTCACCTGCGTCCGCAGATGCTGCTGTTCCCGCTCCAGCTTCTCCTGGTGCAGCAGCCGCACCTGCTCCTGCTGCTGCTGCAGCTGCACCTGCTGGGCGATCACCTTGAGTTTTTCCGGGTACATGTGGGCCTCAAGGGAGCGCACCTGTAAATGAAACGGCACAGCATTCAGAGGTGGGGCGAGGCCACACCTGCTCTACCGCAAAGGCCATGTGCTCACTAAAACCTCAATCCTGGGCACAGGGCAATCCTAAACCTAAAACCCTGGCAGAGAGCGCCCCCTTAGGGCAGACCAGAGGCTCGCCCCACTTCGCCTCTAAACTTCGGTCTCTACTGCTCCCACCTCCTCCCTTCTCGTCTGACGGCCAGTTTCCTCAGGGAAGCCAGGCAGCACACCCTGGGGAACCAGGTCAAACCCTTTCTGGTGCCACAGCTCCTGCGCAGTCTTTCTCAGCGGCAGTTTTTTGAGTGTGCATGCTGGGAGTTGAGCCCAGAACTTACATACTAAGCACTCCATAACTGAGCTAAACACCCACCCTCTGTTGCATTTTCACACCTTTAAGAAAGAACCCTTGCTGGGTGGCACACAACTTTAATCTCAGCACTCGGGAGGCAGAGGCAGACGAATCTCTGTGAGTTCGAGGCCAACCTGGTCTACAGAGTGAGTTCCAGGACAGCCAGAGCTACATGAAGAAACCCTGACTTAAAAGGAAAGAGAGAGAGAGAGAGAGAGAGAGAGAGAGAGAGAGAGAGAGAGAGAGAGAGAGAGACTGGAGAAATGCCCAACGATTAAGAACACTGGCTGCTCTTCCAGAGGTCCTGAGTTCAATTCCAGGAACCACATGGTGTCTCACAACCGTCTGTAACAGGATCTGACTCCCTCTTCTGGTGTACATGAAGACAGATTACAGATATACATTAAATAAATAAATACTTGAAAGAAAGAAAGAACCGTTGACTAATGCTTTTCACTCCTATGCAAATGGAAACTCTGGAGAGCCTACTCTTAGGCCAGGTACAGAGCAGGCATTCTTGCAAATAAATACTTGAAGGGAGGAACTGAACAGAAAAGATCAGAATCCATCCTCTATGCCTGGGCATCACACTGGCCAGCAGAGGGCGCTGCCTCACCTGCTCCTCCAGCATCATCCGCACAGAGCGCTCCTTGTCCAGCTGCTGCCGAAGCTCAATCATCTCCCTCCTAAGGTCCTCAGCCTTCTCGTCCTCCCAGATGTCAGGTGAGCCAATGCCCTCATCCTTGTCTTCTGCCCGACGCCGCTTGGGGGATGAGCCACTCAGCTCCTGGGGACCCCAAGAGGTTGGTGAGTGAGCAGACACACTCATAACACATCCAGAGGTCCCGGGGGGCTCTATTGCAGGCCCTCCAAAGCTACCCAAGACAGGTGGGCTCACACTGGGGAACCCATTCTGCAGATCCACCAAGGAGCCGTATACCAGGAACGGAAGAACGGACTTGCTTTCTAGAACAGTCGCCTGCTTCCTCCAGAGCCTGCCCCACTGTTCTTCACAGAGGAAGAAGCAGGCCCAGGCAAGAAGTAGGCAGTTTCTGTGGGCAAGATAAGACTGAGAGCCACACATGCATCCCAAGCTAACGGCCCGGTTAGGATACGCACACACAGAAGAGGAAGGCGGGGCACTGCTGGGAGGGCTGTCCGTCCCGTACCTGGATGAAGCGCTTGAGCTGTGTATTCTGCTGCAGGAGTCTAGTCTTCTCCTGCTCGAGAGAGAAGATGTATTCTGCCGTCTGCTGGAGAATGGCTGCCTGAGGGCAGGAGGGAAAGAGTCAGACTGATGGTCCTCTCCCCATGAGAGCACCTCCTCCAAGAGGGCCTCCCTGCCACTGCCCACCTTGCTGAGTTTCTCTCCATCTGTGTGGGGAATGAGGGTCTTGAGGGACTGGAAGCCAGCGTTGATGCTCTGCATGCGCCTACGCTCGTTGCTGTTGGCAATCTCCCGCCGGATCCGCCTCTCCTGGTCCCGTTGGGTCTCAGGGGTCAGTGGAATGTTGGCAAGGCTGCCAGGGAGAACAGGAGTAGATTCAGGCTAGATGTCCTCTGGACTTTACGCCTCTGTCCTCAGAGTTCATCACCAGAGGACCCTGGATATAACCTGCATCACTTCCCTACAACAAACAGTGCCTGAGGTACTCTGGCAGATCACCCTGAAGATGACATAGAGATGTGTGGACCCTGGGATGCCCAGTGGGCTGAATCAGCTGCCTGTGAACATGGGTGGTCTACTTAGAACCCACCCCTCCCCTGGCTGCTTCTTCTTTAAAAAAAAAAAAAAAGATTTATTTATTTTATGCACATTGGTGTTTTGCCTGCGTATATGTCTCTGTGAGGGTGTCAGATTCCCTGGAACTGGAGTTACAGACAGTTGTAAGCTCCCATGTGGGTGCTGGGAATTGAACCCGGGTCCTCTGGAAGAGCAGCCAATGCTCTTAACCCCTGAGCCATCTCTCCAGCCCCCAAGGCTTCTTTTCTAGAATTCCCTCCTCTAGAAGAGATTCTTAGCAGTGCCTGGATACCAAAATACACAGGGGTTCACAACTATGCAGGCCTCACCTGCCATTCTACTATCTCCCTAGCCAGGCAGGGAAGGCCCTGAAACCTGCATGGCTAATCCCCATGATTCTAATGCAAGGGGACCCCAGACAGCAACCAGAGACACCTGCTCTTGCGACACCTCAAAGCTCCTTGCTGTGTATCTGGACCACCTCCTTCAGTAGCTCATACTTTGTCACCACAGTTCTGAGAAGACACTCCACCGCCCTGCCCAGTGGCACAGTTGTCTCCAGCCAGAATTAACACCACCCTCCCAGCCACTATGAACTAAGACTGCATAGAGGACAAGACAGGCAGGCAGCACTCGCTCCGGGTGGGACGCCGGGTCAAGCACCTCTTGGGGCAGTTCTACTTGAATATGACCCACTCCAAGGTGGATTCACTTTGCATGAAAAAAATGAGGCTCCCAGCATGCTGTGGAGGATGTTACTGCATGCTGCAGAAGTCGCAGCTAGCCAGTAGGGTGAGAAAGAAGGCAGCCAGCAGTGGAGGGCCCAACGCCACTGCTCCCAAGGGGTGGGCCTGTGTGTGGCCTGGAGGAGGTATGCCCCCCCTTCTCAGCCCTCCCCTGCAACTCCCCCTCCCGCCCCTGGCCTGATGGCTTCCAGATGCTCTGCTCTCAGCAGAGGTCTTCAGCCCCACCCAAAGCCACAGCCCTGGCCTCTTCCTGAGGGGGCCCTCCCAGGGTGACCTGTTGCAGGCTAGAGCTAAGGAAGCTCATACCCCTGGGTCTGGGAAGAGAGGCCTCCAACACCTCTCACCTCATTGATGTGGAGTCCCAGGTCAAAGGGGTGCCAGATCTAACTCTCTGGCAGTGAGCTGGCTCCTGCCTCCATCCCCAGGGAAAACGGGCTGCCCAGCAGCCCAGGAGGGAAACACATCTGCAGCAGCTGGAAACAGCTGAAGCCTGTCCAGCCCCACCCAGCCTACCCCATCTGTCCTGCCTCAGCTCCCTAAAGGACCCTAGTAGCATCCCTGCCCCTTCCAGGGCCCCAGCTTCCTCTCCCAGCAGAAAGGATGGACAGCTGGGAATGAGTCTCTGTCGGCCACTGCACGGGGTTTGGAGGCAGAGCACCCCCTTCCCACCTCATCAAGTCAGGTCTCCTCATTCAGGGCCAAAAGCCCAGGACCCCAGAGCACCCAGAGGACATGACCCCTTCTCCCGGGGTTCGTGTCCCCACAGGACCTAAAGGGGCCCAGGTCTCCCACCTGACAGATGAGACTTCCCTACTTAGAGCTTAGGGTGGGGAGAGACACAGCTTTAGGGTGGGATAGCTGGAGGTCCAGCCTCCCTGCTTCAGGCCAGGACGCGATGCTTCTCCCAGCCCCAAAAGGGGAGCGACGGGGCATCTGGAAGGAGACAAGGACAAAGCCAGTACTGCTCCTCAGTCCTTTGAGTCTGGCCCTGAACACACCGACTCTGGAGCCAGTAGGCCTGTGAGAGGAATGCTCTACGGTAAGTAGTTAACACCACGGGTGTCTGGGGGCAGGAAGAGAAAGGGTGTGATGATGGCACACACCTGTAAGTTCAGCACTTAGGAGGCTGATGCTGGAAGGGTGGGGGTTTCCAGGCCAGCCTGGGCTACAAAGGAAGACTCCTGTCTCAAAAAAACCAGACAAGACAGGTGAGGCGTTGGGCACGGTGGGAACACGCCAGTAATACCAGCACTTGGGAGGCAAGGGCAGAAAGTTAAGTTCAAGACCATCCTCAACTACACAGCAAGTTCAAAGTCAGCCTGGGCTACATGAGACCCTGTCTCAAAATTAAAAAGTGGGTGGTGGGGGGAGCTGAATAGATAGCTAACTAGCTAAGAGTTCTTACTGCTCTTCTAGAGTGCCTCAGTTTGATTCCCAGAACCCACATCAGGCGGCTCGAAACTGCAACTCCAGGGGATCAACACCCTCTTCCAGCCTCTGTGGGCACCCCACATACAAGCAATATAAATAATTACATACATACATGAGAGAGGTCACAGAGAGCAAACTACTCGGGGATTATAATCCCCACTCCACCCTAGGATTAATGTGGGAATCTCCCCAACAACTCACCCAGTCTCTGGGCCCATGCTGGTTATGCACCAAAGGCTGAAACTGACCTAAGACCAGTCTCAAAACAGCATGTAACCACCCTCAGGATACCCAGAGGGCTAGCCTGTCTTAAGGGCCTCAGAATACAGGAGTGTATTTTTAAAATAAATAAATAAACAGGGTTAAGGCTGTGGTTCAGTTGACAGAGTGATTGCCTAACATGCTCAAAGTCCTAGATTCAAGCCCGAGAACTCCATTTAAAAAAATAAAATAGGCCGGGTGGTGGTGGCGCACGCCTTTAATCCCAGCACTCGGGAGGCAGGCACAGGCGGATCTCTCTGTGAGTTCGAGGCCAGCCTGGGCTACAGAGTGAGTTCCAGGACAGGCGCAAAGCTACACAGAGAAACCCTGTCTCAAAAAACCAAAAAAAAATAAAAAATAAAAATAAAATAAAAAGGACAGTGTCACATATCTGTAACCCTAGGACTAGGTAGAGGCAGATCCCTGAGTTCAAGGACAATCTATGCCATATAACAAAACCCTGTTGTGTCAAAGAACCAGTAAGTAGGCTAAGGGCACTTGATTCCCAGGTGAAAAGGAGGAAGGGACCAGCCACACAGTAAAAGATGGCATTGGGACCCCAGAGTAGGGCAGAACAGACTCTATACCATCCCATGGACTGACCAGCTTCCCCAGTAAAGGAGGACCAGGCGCCATGACAGTTACTTCACTGACTCTTTTTGGTTTTTGGTTTTTTGTTTTTTTTCCGAGACAGGGTTTCTCTGCTTAGCTTTGGAGCCTGTCCTGAAACTCACTCTGTAGACCAGGCTGGCCTCGAACTCACAGAGATTCGCCTGGCTCTGCCTCCCAAGTGCTGGGATTAAAGGTGTGTGCCACCACAGCCCAGGTGACTCTTCTTTTTGCTGCTGCTCCTGTTTGCTTGTGACATGGTTTCACTCTTATAGCCCAGACTGGCATCCTCCTGCCTCAGCCTTTAAGTGCTGGGATTAGGTGCCATCACACACCTAGCTTAGTTGCATATTCAGACTTCTTTCTCCCTGGCCTTCACTGCAGCAGTGAGCCCTAGCCATGGTCCTGGGCTGTGCAGACAGCCAGAGCAGGGCAGAGCTGGCTCCTACATCTGGGTGTGCCCTCTATTAAAGGCTCACACACAACCAGAGGCTGCACAACTAAGTGTGTGTGACTGACCCACAGGTGCAGAGACTCACCCTAGGTCATACCTGGTGGGCTGGCAGGACAGGGTGCAGCTGCAAGCAGTCCCCTGCAGCTCCCATCAACTCAGCTACCCTTGAAACTGCAGCCCTGAGAGCTAACCTCAGCCTCCCCATCCCCCAGGACACGCACTAACTGGGAAGCCAAAAGGAAACTTCAGAGCCCCACCCTGAAAGAGTCCATTGCAGAACTCCACCTGAAGAGACCTTGGGTACCAGACAGTGAGCAGGTCCCTAGCCAGACCCTTCCAAATGTGTCACCCAGCCTCCAAGCTAGTTAACATGGCCATCCCTGGACTTAGCTTTGAGGAAAGAAACTGTCCTTGCAAAGCTACAATTCTGCATGGGGATTTGGGATTGCCTCAATGACTTGTCTAAACAGCCCGGAAGCTCCAGCTGATAGTTAACAGGCTACTGATAGTTAACTGGTAGTTAACTACTACTGCCCAGTGGTTATAACTGTAAGTAAGCTAGCTAGGTGCTCTAGTGGGTAGAATGTGAGCTGATCCAGAATCACGATTGGTGGAATGCGATCGGCAATCCTCATCACTGACTAGCCCAATGGTCACTTCCAGGTGATACTGCACTAGAAAAAGTAGATTCTCTTACATATGCCGGAAAGTTCCCTACAGCTCTTTCTTGGTTTTGCAAAAGCAAGTTCACAGTGAGTAATCATATGGAAAAGTCCCACCCAAAAAAGCCTCCACAGAGTCCCTCGGTAAGCAGTGAAGATTGCTGAGACCACTGGCATGGGTGGCACTGGCTTGTGATGGCAGCGAGATTGCTGGGCCTGTGGCCAAAGAACAGAATTCGGCCACCCAGCCTTGAGTTCTAAGAGCAGGGCCACCATCCCTAGTGAAGATTGGCAGCACCGTATCCAGATGCTCCAGAGCAGAAGGCAGGTGGTGGTTCATATCTGGATCCCTGATCCTCCTGCCCAGCCTAAGGCCAGGTATCCCCACCACCCTCTAACTGGCCACCAACAACTTTCTTTTCACATGACCTGAACCCACTTAACATCCCTAAAACATCCACAATCAAAAGGTGGGAAAGGCCATGTGGGATTTCTCCCATACCCAGGAGAAGGAGGAGAGGGAGAGATGACCCTCCCACCAAGCGTACCCCACACACGCATGCTCAGCCGTCTTTTTCCATCACAGGCCCACCGACTCTACAGCCCTGACCAC